AGAGCTAAGTCATCAAAGTTAGCTCACTCCCGAGAGCTAATCAAGTTGCTCAAATTACTCTCAAGAGTTGAGTTATTACTTAACCGACTTCCGAGAGCAGATTTAGTTTCTTAATCGATTCTCGAGAGTGGATTAAGCCTGTCAACCACAACATATTAATAATAGCTGCGGTTCTATGTGAGTCACAACCTATGCGGAAAGCATCATGTGATCAGCGTGAGATCTAGTTGCAGAGAAGTTGAAATAGAAAGGCATCGAAGTGTTAAAGTGTTCCGCATAAGGTTTCTCATACTGACCATATGAGGTTTTACCCTGGCCAGCCCAAGCGGCTAAACACTAGCACAAACACCTTAGGTATAAAACCAAAGGTGAGGTCAGAAATAAATATATACATTTGCACTTTATTTAAAGTCTACTACATTGTACTCTAACAACTTATCAGGTCGCTCTGATCTCGCGCAATCAATATGCCTACTGTGAACTCTAAGGATATTAAGACCACCACTATTCTCGAATCGAAGGTTGACTGGCTTCCTTGAGAAACCCAGACCCGTGAATTGTGAAGGAATCCCAACAATATTGACCGATACAACCCCATCTAGAGGCAACCGATTGAAACCCAAGGAAATCGCTGAGGCATATCGGATTATCAACCGCACCTTATCTCAAGCCCTAAACCCTAAACCCTAAACCCTAAAACCCTAAAAACGTACTTCCTTATAAGTACCACAAACATCATCTCGTCAGCAACATGCGCATTAATGACCGGTATGCGCTCGAAGTAGCGGATGGTACAATCATTTATCCGAAGTATGTGGCTCAGCTAAGAAACTTGGGGGACGTACTCATTGATACGACATATAAAACTGCACTACTAAGTATCAGCCTACTCTCAGCGCGACACTACTCATTTGAATTCACCAACAACATGATGTACATATTACTACCAAGCTTCGGAACCATAACAGTACATGAAAAACACAAAATATACTGTGTGCACATCGACGACATAGCTATGACTACAGTGGAACCATCGCTGGAGAAAGCCAATCAGATTTCATGGCACAACAGGCTCGCGCACCCCAGCTACGTCCCAAAAGATGTACCCTACATAAGGCAACCAGAGGACCGATGCAAAGCATGCACTATTGCTAAGAAGGAAAAACAAGAATACAAACAAGGAACGACAGCACGAACCTACTACAGAGCCTCTCAAGTTAGTCTTCGTGGACATAATAGGACCGTTCGTAACGTCAATAGGATCCAACACCCACTCTGAATCAATCATAGACGATTTTTCTAGCATGGCCAAAGGAGTATCCGATCCGCGATCTGAAAGCGACAACAATTTTGGATTCTATGTTACACACCTTCGATGAATGGTACATCCTAAGTCATCGCCGAGTTCAGTGCATACAAATGGATCGAGGCTCACAGTTTACAGCAAACGTAACAAGGCGCATGCTTGCGTATTTGGGATACTGCTCGAGGTACGCACCTACGGCCACGCCACAATACCATGGCAAGGTAGAGAGACTCTATGGTACACTGGTCCCTAGAATGCTTGCACAACTGAAGTATGCACGTTTACCGACTACTAAGTGGGCTGAATCACTGTTTCAAACTACCAACATATACAATGCTATACCCACCAACGAGAAGAGCTCATCCCTGTACGAGAATTTTACATGATATGCATTTCCGATAGATATGTTCAGAACATTCGGGTGTTACATCGCATACAAGAACCGTGATCCAGACGGTAAACTCGACGACAAAGCACTGGATGGCATTATTCTTGCGCAACCCTTGGACACAATACCGGACTCGTATCGTATATACTCACCTCCGACCAAGCGTATAATACAAAGCCGAGACGTCTATATATTCGAAGATGAATTCTTTGTCTGGGAAGACAACAAATGTACAACCGCTATCGCACCACATGACACTACGAACAGTAATACATTCCTCCAAATCGAGAATGTCGAATTCCAAACAGACGCAAGGACAACATCGACAAAGGAAGATATTACTAGCCAGCAAGTCCAGCCCACTGTGACACACAAGTCAAGCAACTCAGAACAACTACAAATAACTTCATCGTCAACACAACAATCTACTGAGAGTGAAATACATACCGTCGAGTCGGAGGCTTCTGCAGCGACTACCAAAACACAACATAATCTCGAAGCAACCATAGCTAGAAGAACGGCAGAAGGTCGCCAAGTCTCTCGAGAACTGCGGGACCTTGCGATAGATGATAATAATGTCGACTGGTATCACGATAGCCGCCGTAAGAGACGAACTCCTAGCACTACACACACTGTCAATTCAGCAACTGTAGCAATGAAACCGAAAACATACAAAGGTATATATGAGATGCCAAACGCAGCCGATTGGGAGGAATCAGCACGTTCGGAGATGGAGAGCTTGGTGATACAGCGCAAGTCATTCACTCTGGCTGACAACAAACCGCGAGAGAAATCAGTATTCCCCCCTCGATGGGTCTTCAAGGCAAAAACGGATGAATCAGGACAAGTCACACGACTCACATCACGTCTGAACGTAGCAGCATTCAATGCAAAACAGGGAGTCGATTACGATGAAAGCTATGCCCCAGTAGTAGCCAAGGAAACACTCAGGATCTGTCTAGCTCTAATGGCACACTATGACATGGACATTCGACAATACGATACACCCTCGGCCTACCTCACTCAAGAACTGGATACCCCTAGCTACATGCGAGTGCCGCAAGGATACGATCTCATCGAACATCTATTGGACCCGTCTCAGAGAAAACTATACGAAAGGCACAAGCAAGAAGACACAAAGGTTATATGTCGAGTTGACCGTTGCGTATACGGTCTACCACCTAGCGGATACTACTGGTTTAAAGATATCTATCGGTTTGCTATACAACACAGTTATAAATGCTGAGAGTGAAGTACATACCGTCGAGTCGGAGGCTTCTGCAGCGACTACCAAAACACACAGAACACCCCTTTTTTGTGGATTTATTTTTGAGACACGGTATGTATCTTTCAATGCATCGGTGCACATGTTATTGAATTTGTGGCCAATCGTGTTCATCTGCTTGCAATTTGTTTACCGTTTCCTCTGGTGTGTAATGCCCTAAGTTTTGGTATTGTTCGATGACGTTGATGCGTGTCTCGTTTTCTGTCTCATGTGATGCATCTCCAGGGTTGACTGTTTGTGATGCTGAGACGTTTATCGCAGGTTGTTCCCGCGTTGTGTCAAAGTATGGAGACTTCACTCCTATCTTCGCTACTAATGTGTCGCCCCACGGGGTCTTGCCACATGCTTCGTGCCTTCTTCGAGGAACGCGTTGTTTGCGTTTGCCACTAGCATCGGGTCTTCTTCTAGTATAGATAGCAATTTCGTGAAACACGTTACATTGAGGTGGTATGATACACATTGACTTTGTTAAGGACATTAGGTATGAGTTCCCACGGAGGGTTTGCCTATGCATTTACATACTGCGCCTACTTCTGTAGGA